GGCAGCTGCCAGTTTGCCCAGTATAAATCTATTCACTGCAAGCCACAAGGTGGAGATCTCTGGCAGAGCAGGACCAAAAGGAAGTCTTTTACCCAGCCTAATGTTACTATTAACACTTTGAGCCATTGCATCAAGCCAATTTTTCTGTTTGTTTTTAAAGTTTGATAGAAATGTCACTAGTGGAAAAATTAAGTAAAGAGCACTGGTTAGCCACAGAACTGGACACACCTGGCTGCAAACCCACCAAAAGAAACTGACTTCATTAGTACTAGGGACAGCAGAGTAAAATTTATTTCTGAAATATGCCTGCACCAGTAGAATTTGCTGAGGCCACAGGCTCTCCCTGTGTTTTCACAGCTGTGTCAAGTTTGGGTTTCTGACTCTTGCCGACATTCAGGAGTGCTGAAGGAGCTCAGGCTAACAGGTCCCAAAACTTCGTAGCTGAGATTTAGATCTCAGCAATTTTAACAACCAGGTTTTGAAATAATACAAACTCCATTTGGAGTTGGAGCTGATATAAATTAGTAGTTAAAATACCTCACATTCTATCACTTTTGGCTCCAATAAACTTGCATATTTAAGAGCAGACAGCAAATTTTAATAAACTGTCAATATCAGTTCAGTGTCCATTTTCTGCATCAAGTATTGGCATTGTTGCTAGATATGGAAATGAGTTGAAGAACTGCAGCTTTGTCTGTCGACAAGTTAAACTAGTTGCATCCAACCAGCAATTTCCTACAGGTGCTCTGTCACTCCTACCACAATACAGGAACATACCCACCGAGGTTAAACACTGACCCCTGAGATTCTGCATGAGAGAAAAAGCAGGGAATGGAATTTCCCAACCTCCTAGGAGCTATGCAGATGACAACTTAGTGTCCTAAAAGTATTCAGGAAAGTTTCATTTAACTTCTCAACTTCTTCATTTAACATCAGAAAAACATGAATGTCACCCTCTTTTTATCTACAGCTCTTATCTTGATATATTTAATTATCTTCTTTTAGAGGTAGAATATAAACTGATTGCAGGACTAAGTTACTTGAAAACACATCAGTGTCACACACGTTCCTCAGCCAGCTCACAAGACTCTTGTCACTACCTCAGCTTCATTTTCAAGTAACCATTAGGGATAAACACATCAAGATCAATAAGCAGAACCCAATACCTATTTATTTATCACTTACAACTCCTTGAAATTGCTAGAGCTGAGGTGTGAAGAAGAGTTCAGCAAGGGCACACCTATGGGAAAGGAAGGAAAGTAAGTGCAGAAGAGTGAACAAGCATGGAAGAACCAGGAACTGCCTGTGCAGGGACACAGGTGAAGTGGTACATTAAGCTGGGATCACTAGCACCAAAAAAGGAAAACATAGCAATGATAAGGAGCAAGGGAAGAGCTAACCTCTTCAAACATCAATCCATAGATTATTTTCATCTGATACACAATAAATGCTACTGGAAGAGACTAAAATTCATCTAGATAAAATAATGACTGAAAAATTAGGAATAACTTGAAAAAAAAAAAAAAGAAAAAAAGACTAAAAGATTATTAAAGCCTTCACAAATGCTGTGGGGAAAAGAAAGGTCCTAATTTCCAAGCTTACAGGCTAGGAAAGTTCACGATGATTTCTTACACACCCTTAGTGCCTGGTCTAGCTGGCTGTTACCTCAGAGTTCAGGTTCTCTCACAAGGAGTCTCATTAAAATCAATGGGCCTCTGTGCAGCTAAACTATATTAAATATACACACAGATGTAACTGTTTGAGATCAAGCCTTTAAATGTGTACATACTTCACTTAAGCATCAGCTATTGCCACATAAAAGCCAAGGCAACACTAGGTTACAGTCTCAGGGATATTCTAGGAATCATATTATTGCAAAATAAGCATGCTCATTATTAGATTGCATGATCATTATTACAAACAAATACTGTGACATTTAACTTCAAGGATAAACTGAAAAGATGCCTAACCTGCCCTGGCAGAGAATGAATGGCCTTCAGACAACTTAGGATCTCCTGACAGTAGCATTACACAGCAACCACACCATTGTAATACCTAAAATTAACATTTGAGGCTCCAGAGAGGATGAAAACATAAGGACTGGCAGATTTTTTTTACACTTGAAGGGATTTCGGGGAGCAATGGAATGCTTTAGTTTTCAGAAATGGAAACTCTGCTTCCCTTCACAAAGAACTAACTGTAAGAACTATCTTTTTTTCCCTTAAAGTTTACTGGCAAAAGTCTTGATACAGGTCTACCTTACACCAAGCTTCACTTCTGAGTTTTGTGTGCTTGCAGGGGTAGCAAACAGGGAGCTTTGCTTCTCTGTGCTGCTTGCTGGTGCTTCAAATCCTGCAAGGAAAGCTACAAGGTGGTGTTTCAGGTTAGTTCATTTAAGGCAAAATTAGGGTCAAAAGGAAGAGAAATAGCATTCTCCTCGTGAATAGATGGACAGAAACTGTTTAATTCAATTGTTTTTCTGGGGGGGGCTTTGGGAAGTGAGGTTTTTGCCTGGGGTTTTTTGTTATGCTTCTGGTGGAGTTTTTGCACTTTTCAAGCCTTAAATTTATACCTAGAGCTGTCTCCCATTCCTACAGAAACCAGAATCAATCCCTGATATGACATGGAAGGCATCAGATAAGGACTAAAATGCAGAAACTGTTTAATTCAATTGTTTTTCTGGTACTATCATCTAAGTTCACTCTCACTGCCTTATGGCATCTGACCAGGAAAGTGGAGATTCCCATATTGGAATTGATGTAAGCCCATTAACATAGTGAAAAATTCTAAGATGCTTAAATTTAGATTTAATCCAAAAGAAGAAGCTCTAAGACAGTCAAACTATGACATTTCCAACAACTAGAGAAAAAAAGCTATTCCTGATTAACTAACTGAACTTACACCAGAATCAACACTTCCTAAAACCACAAACAAAACAGATCAGAGAGAAACATGCTGAATTACTAATGTGATCACATACCAAATCATAACTCACTGGTTAATCCCCTTGTCACCACCAGCAGCCTCTCCCTTGCTTATCTGGCTGACAACAAGACTTGGCAATGGGCCACCACTGTGATATGAAAACTGTCTCTTCTCCAAAACAGTCTAATTTATTTTAATCACAGACAAACCTCTGTTTATTCAATGGAACAATTATTTTTTCCACAACACTGAGATCTTTTCTCCCACTAGAAGTGCCCTGAACACAGGCATCCTCAACTGCACCAGTTCTCCTGTCCTCACTGTGACACTGGGGTTATGAAAACTACCCCAGTGCTTCTGCACTGCCTCCTCTGAAGACTCTCACCAACACACAGCTGGAGAAACACTCACAGATGTTAAGCCCAGAAATGACCATTACAACTGACTAGCAAAAACTTCCTCAGAACAGGCCAAAAAGAGCCAAGCTCGTTCTTCCTTAAACATGCAAATGAACTATCCCTCAAAATGTCTCTTGTGATAAAGATGACCTACACTGAGAATGCCAAATAAGAAACTAATGACTAGTTATAGTCGTGTACAGAAACCCAACATAAAAACCTTGTCCCTTAACTTTTCTTTTACTCACCACCCTAGATACAGAGAAAACTCAAAGCTCTGCTGGAATTACTTAAGGTGCGTTACACTTTTGGCACCAGTCATGTTTCTCCCTACCTCAGCTGCTCATTCCTATCCACAAATGCCCATTCTGCTGCAGCAGCATCTGTTTCTGCAATCACATTGGCAGATCATGTGGAAAATTAATTACTTTCAGACAAATCAAGGTTGGGCAGAAAATGGATTGAGAACAGCCCTGAGGAGAAGGACCTGGGGGTATTGGTTGATGAAGCTCAACATGACCCACCACCATGTGCTGGAGCTCAGAACCCACCCGTGTCCTGGGCTGTGTCACCAGTCACCAGCAGAGTGACCAGCAGGGCCAGGGAGGGGATTGTCCCCTCTGCTCTGCTCTGGGGAGACCCCACCTGGAGAACCATGTCCAGTTCTGCAGCCCCACAAGAAGGACATGGAGCTGTTGGAGAGAGTTCAGAGGAGGCCCCGGAGGTGATCCAAGGGCTGGAGCAGCTCTGCTCTGAAGCCAGGCTGGGAGAGTTGGGGTGTTCAGCCTGGAGAAGAGAAGGCTCCAGGGAGACCTTAGAGCACCTTCCAGTGCCTGAAGGGGCTCCAGGAAAGCTGGGGAGGGACCTGGGACAAGGGCAGGGAGGGATGGGACAACAGGGGATGGATTAAAAGTGGAAGAGGGAGATTTAGGTTGGACATGAGGAGGAAATTCTTCACTATGAGCCTGTTGAGACCATGGCCCAGGTTGCCCAGGGAAGCTGTGGCTGCCCCATCCCTGGCAGTGTTGAAGGGCAGGTTGGATGGGGCTTGGAGCAGCCTGGGCTGGTGGGAGGTGTCCCTGCTAATGGCAAGGGGTTTAGATCTATATGATCTTTAAGGTCCCTTCCAGCCCAAAGCAGTCTGGGATCCTATGATTCACCCAGGCCATGTGCAGTTTCAGAAATGAGCTCAGTTGCTGAACAAAACAGGCAGCAGAGCTGCAGGAATGAGTGCTCAGGAGTGAGGGCAACACATACCAGCTTAAGCTAACAAAGAAATAAAAAAGCAGTTACAGGTTGATTCTTAGGCATTCTTCTCAGATATATGAAGAAACAAAGGCATTGGCATACATGAATCACCTAATCATCACTGCTCTTCTCAGTAGTTCCCAGTGTCAGGACGAGGGGCAATGAGCACAAGCTGGAACATGGGAAGTGCCCCTGAAATATGAGGGAAAACTTATTTACAGTGAGGGTGACAGAGCCCTGGGACAGGCTGCCCAGGGAAGCTGTGGAGTCTCCATCTCTGGAGACACTGAAAACCCCCTGGATGCAGCCCTGTGTGAAGTGCTCCAGGTTATCCTACTTCAGTGGGAGAGCTGAACTAGATGATCTCTAGAGGTCCCTTCCAACTCCAGCAGTGCTGGGAGTCTGGGCTCACCCCCCAGGCTGACTTACCCCCATCACCTTCCCGCGCTGCTCCACGTCCTCCCACATGCAGTGCACGATGTAGCGACACATGTACTTCCCCGCGCGCCCCTCCTGCTTCATCCGTACCAGGCACATCCTGCAACAACAGAAACACCAAATTCAGAGCTTCTAGGGTTCTTCTCAAATGTAAAGAGTAAGTTAAATACATTTCGGCTCCTTGCAGTCTCCTCATAGGATGTGTTTGGTGAAATCAGGGAAAAAACCTACCAAGATTTTATTTTTTCTCAAATAAACTATCACTAACTTTTCTCTTCTGAGCTCAAGAGCTGTATCTGCTGGATTTTGGCCAAGCCATCTATGGAGGAGTGACAGGGGACTCTATTTTGTCTGGCTGTGCTGTAATCTAGCTAAAGAGCACTAAATTCCTCAGCCTTAAGAATATATCACCCTTTGGGGCAGGAAACAATGTCCTGTCCAATCCCAGGCTACCAGCCAGCTCTAACTCAGCTTGGTCTCCTGAAGTGCTGGGAGAGTCCGAACCAGCCAAGCTGTGAAAGCTCTGCAAGTTACAGACTTCACCCAAACTCACATTAGCAATATCCTAAATTATTCCAACTACAAGGGTCTTTGGATACATGTCCAACCACTTGGCAAAAACACACAGCGCACGCTGGAAGAACTCAGAGGTGTGTAAGGGCACTGTGGGAGCTTGATGGGAGTACCAGGGGGAGCTGGTTTATTTCTTTAAGCATTGAAGCCACTTCATTGCTGCTGTTCTGTCTAAAAAATAAATCATCAGAACAAAACTTTTTTAATTATTATTACATTTAATTTTATTAACTATTATTTAATTGTTATTTTATTTTCTATTTTATTATATATTTTTTTATTATTATTTTGCCTCTTTTACAACCTCTATAAACATCATGAAATGAGATGCAGGCTAACCCCTCACTAAGCTGAGAGACCAGTTCCCATCACCAGTCCCACTCTCTCTACCCCACCAACAAGCTCTGCTCCTGTGCTGTGGCCAGAAGTGCCTGCCCAGCACTGCCTGAGCTGCTGGAGGCCTCCTGGAAGCAGCAGGACACTAACAGTACTGAATGTGCCCTTAAGAGTTCATAGTAAAAATGATGATTTTTATCTGTTAATTTCTTCAGTGGACATAAGATCTGTGCCTCACCATAAGCACTACAAGTATTTGGTGATCTGTGAATGCCAGCTCAAGGGGAGAGAATCAGAAACACTTGAAGCTTGTCTGTTGAGCTGACCTGCTGAGAGATTCCAATCTTTCTGATGGAATCTATTTTGTTTACTGATTAGTAAAGACAGTTTTTCACCTGCAAAGGAAGGAAAACTTATTGCCAGTGCTGAGTCACAAAGACAAAACAGACTTGAAGGTAACAAAACTTGTGTTAGTCCTATAGCCTTTTTTCTCATTAGAACCAGACATTCAAGTCCCACACAAAGACCAGTCCACTGAGCCACCAAAATTGAAAGGAGAAAAGGCCATGGACCAGAATCCGGTTTCTAGATGGAGAGCTGCTGAAAATGACATTGGGCATCCAAGAGACAGCCCAAGCTTCAACACAAGCCTGGTGGAGTGAGGTCAGAAGACTGGAGAGTGGGACTGAGGGGTGACACATACACCAGTGATCAAAGGGTGCCATGACAGGCAGCACTGGGTAGAGGGGGAAGGGCAGCAAAGGGAGTGCTGGCAAGACAGTGGCAATTTCAATTTCAGGAAAGAGATGTGTAAGGATTCCTCAGGTTTACACTGTGGTTGTGACCACTCAGAATCTTCAGATGGTATCAAGAAATAATCCTCTTCTTGCTCACAGAAAGATGGCAAAGGTGTCTGCTAAAACAGTGCTCCAGCACCCAGAGCAGCTGCCCAGTTACCAGTCCTTCCACAAAGCTCATGCACAACAAGCTTCTGTTGTCTCTCACTTCCACCAGTTTCAAAACCTTTGTTTCTCTTGTGCATTTGCATAATTGAGCTGTATGAAAAAGTTAATTAGTAAGACTTACCATATCCCAAAATTTTCCCCACTCTTAACAAGTCAAAAAGACTTACTTTAAACAAGTAATTTTGGGCTAAGAAAAGCATTTTTATACTTCTCTTGCTGAACAGGCAAACTTGGGGGGAGGGAAGGGGCGAAGTAAGACTGGCTTGGCAAGAAAAGCTCCTCCTGAGCATAAATCCTGGTTCCTACCCAGTCTGCCTTCAGTGGTGGTGAAGCAGGAGAGCAGTGCACAAACCAACAGCTAACAATTGGTCACTGATGAGCAGGGCTGAGTGGTGTTCAGAGGAAAACCTGCTGCCCACAAAGCCTAAAAGGCAGCTCTGTGTTTGGATGCATAGTGCTGTCACTGAGCTGTTCTGCAGCACCACGAGTGAGATCATGGAACTTTGCAGTTTATTTGAAAATTTGGTAGTTTGTTACTACACCTGCTGTCTGAGGTTTAAAAGACACAGACTCTTTAAAGGCTATAAACCTTCTCACTAGATCAACACAGTGTGAAACATTTTATCGTTCCACTACAGAATCTGTGCTCTAGTTTAGTCAAATACTGACTCATCTTCCTCAAACCATGAAAGCAAAAGTAATCCAAACTATCTTTAGAAAGGTGTCTACCTGACATTGGGTGGGTTGGATAATTTATGCTGTGTTTAAGTTGTGCAGAGAGATTCTGCTGGAAAAAACTACATGAAAGGATGCCTGAAAAGGAACTGGAGCACCTGTAAGTTGACCTAGCACCTTGCGCACCTATAAGTCTTAGATGAAATGTAGCAGGTTCCCACAAGAGCCTCTGGTAAAACTGCTTGCCAGTACTCCCCCAGTGCCAACAAACTGGGTTAAACACCAGAAGTGGTAGTTGACACCACCCTGCAGACTCCTGTGAGGAGGCTCAGTGCCAAAACATCAGGAGGAAAGAGGCATTATACTTGTAAGGGCAAAGCCCACTCAGAGCCTCCCACTATCCCTTACACCTGGCTACTCACTCCTGCTTCCTCAGGTGCTTTCTGGGGCCCTGTTATACATACAGAGGAATTCCTCTGGCTTAATACCACAAGCATCAGCAGCAATCTCAGAAGGCTTTAGTCAGTCTAACCCATCCATGCATGACCAGCAACTTAGGGAACAGAAGGAAGCTCCTGAACCCACTTAGTCATCAGCTCAATGCTGTGACCTGAACTTCAAGGAATAATGGTAACCAGGAGAATTCCAAACTCTTCCTAAATAGGCTTGCATGTTATTCTGAGCCCAGCCTATCAAGCTCCCCCACTACTGTATTTACAGGTCTTTGCTGGGGCACAAGCTAACAGAGCTGAGCCTGGCTGTGCAGTCCTTCCCTCCCCTGGTGCCTTGGCTTAGGCCATGTAGCCCATTCCCTCATGTTAAGGCAGGATCGACTAAATACCTAAGACATTTCAGATAAACTTATTCTTAAAACCTTTCTCAAGCAAGACTCCTCTGATGTAATTTAAAACCCTTTTCTCCCTGCCCTCTCTACCATGAAACACAGAGTATATTCCCTTTCTTCTGAAGCAGCACACTTCAAAATGCCCTGGTACCCTCAGGCTCCTCCATACAAACCTGAGAAACCTTTTCCTGCAGAACCTGTTTCCTACATACTTGGTGGTTCTTCTTCTCCTCTAGACACTCTCAGACTGGTCAACACTTTCCCAAGTGCAGATTTCCTTATTCAAAACAATGCTCAGATGGATCTGCACATTCAGATTCTTCTTGCAACAGATCTTTGAGACCTTCAGAACAGGAGTTGTAGCACCACTCTACTTTGATCCTAAATACTTTAGAGATGAAACTATACTTGGTGTGGTGAAAATAAGGAGGGAGCTCTAGGCACCTACATGATATATCCTGCACAGAAACATTTCCTAGTACAGTCACCAAAGTTACCTCTTCAAGCAGTTTCACAACAGCTGTGGACACAGGCAATGCTCTATCCTGATTGCCACCACATGGGAGAAGGCAAACCCAGCACTGGAAATGAACAGCTTGAGGTCTTCTGGAAGGTCTGGACTTCTAAAGTACACAGAGAGTCCTTCTGACATCAAAGGTGTGAAGTAGCAGAAACAGCCTATAAAAATGGCATTCAGGAGAGAATACTGGCAGGTTTATTCTTTGAAGTATAATTTTAGCACTGCACTGGAAGGCACTGGAGTGTATCTAGAGGAATGTTATCTTGAAAGAAGTTAGCAAAAGCAGAGGCTAAACAGGAGAGCCTGAATTTCCCTCCTTTCTGACTGAAGTAGGAAAACTCTACAAGAAGAGCCACAGATCCAAACAGAGGACCCACCAGAACCTATAGCAGAAGAATGTATTCTCTGACAAGCACCTTGAGTCTATAAAAGGTGGGATGTAAACAGAATAGAAACACAGATGACTACAACATGATGGGCAATAACAGCAAGAAGGAACGTGAGGTTTTACCAAACTAGGAAAAATTCTGATCTTCTCCAGCTCCAGAAGACACTGTAAATCAGCTGAAACAAAACATCTGGAGGATAGGGAAGAACGAAGTACACCAGATAGTGATCTGAACTGCACTGCAAAGGGGAAAAGGAATGCGCTGAGAGCTGGTGATGAATAAGGTGGGCACCCTTGTGATGGAAGACTCAGAGAAGGCAGAGTCACTGAATGCCTTCTTGGCTTCAGTCTTCACTGCTAAACCTGTCCCTCATGAATCCCAGGCCCTGAAAGCAAAGGGAAAGGTCTAGAGAGAAGAAGACTCTCTCTCAGAAGAGAAGGACCAGGTTAGAGACCACTTAGCCAAACTGGACATCCTTACATCAGTGGGCCCTGATGGGATGCGCCCGTGAGTGCTGAGAGAGCTGGCAGATGTTATTGCTGGGCCACTCTCCATCATCTTTGCAAGGTCCTGGAGAGCACGAGAGGTGCCTGAGAACTGGAGGAACACATTTGTGGCTGAGAATGACAGCACTCCTTAGGTCAAGCTGCCAGGAACAGGGGGGAGCCAGACACATAAACCTTGGAAAAACTAACCTTTAGTGCTAATCTCCACACTCAAATTTTCATTGCTGTCACCTGAGTTAGAGGGATTTGCTTCCTTCCTGCTCCTGTAGTATATTGCTGCCAACCTGCCCACCTATCTTGAACATAAGAGTATTTTCATTTCCCTCTTTAAACCTCTCCTTACCATCACTGGCTCAAAGTGTGGCAACTATTGGTCTTCCAGCTCTGACCTTGGAATTTGTGTGTTTATCCCATACTAGTTTCATCTCTATCACAGACCCCTTCTTTCTTTTGATGCCTGTCATGAAAGAAGATTATGTAATTTGAATCTCATGCTGTGCATCACAGGGTACTTTTTCCTGTCAATATGCAATCAAAACAATGTGGAAAAAGTGTGTTCATTGCAGATTCGTGCTACCCCTCTTTGTTTTTCCCCAGATATTCAAACAGTTTGGGTCTGAATATTTATTGCAATAGTTTTCCAACTATCAGTGTGAATTGTTAGCTTATTGATTCATTATTAAAACCTTTTTCCACAAGGAACAGTAAGAAAGAAGCTGTAAATCTCACAGGTCTTCCTTACTTGGTACCACTGATTTCATTAACTTATTATAATTTCAATGGTTTTGCTAATTTATTCCTTAGCAAAATGAGCTGCTCCATCTTTCAATATATTGAGGAGACAGGAAATTAAAAGGAGGGAAAGGGAAAAAGGGGAGGCAAGGAAATAAGGGGCCTATGCTTAAGTGCAGCTATTTCAGTACAAGCTTCCTTTCAGCCTTTGGGTAGCTGAACCTAACTCCATGGGCTTCAGTTTCCTGAAAGATCTGGCACTTAACAAAATTCACTGAACTCCCTTGTGCATCCCTCTGACCTTTACAAGTATGTAATGCTAGATGAAAACCTGATTTTTTTGGCTACTATTTTCACAAATGAAAAAAGGAAAAAGCTTAATGTTCAAGGTGTTAAATATTTTTACATGTAGCCAAGCTGGCATGCACCAACCTGCATGTACCTTTCAGAGGCTCAAGAATAAATGCCAGTGCTATAATTTGTTAAATGCTTCTGACGAGCAGCAATTTCAATCACCACAAATTCTCCCAATTTAAACCACTTTTACATAAATTTAAACTTTTCCTAAAACACCCAAGGAAGATTTTTCCATCTAGGCCAAGGAAGGCTTTTAGAAAACCCATAGCAAAGATCATTCCATGACTGAGGAACTTAGAGATGTAAAAGATGTCAGGTTCTCTATGGGACTTCTTGTTCCTTAGTAGAAAACTGCTAACATTCAGTTACTAGTGAACTGAATATAACCACTATGATCAATAACCAAGGAGCCTGCTTCATCTCACACTGAAATACATATGACTCTATTTCCTGAAAATAGTTATATAGCTGTTTTACTGTTCACTTACCAGACATGAAGCTGGGCTACTAGAAACCATGAATTCAAAGTATCAGGCATTTGGCACCCTTGATAGGAGAGGGGGAGACAAAAAAACAAAACAAAACAGAAACAAAACCAAATATTAATATGCATTATCACGTTTTGCACCTAACAGAATGTCACTACCAAAACCTAAACACCATTTAGTAAATTAATTTCTGGCCCTAAACAATACATACATATCAGAAACAAACACCACTCACTGTCACCTTGTGCATAAACTCTAGAACATGCAGCCACTGGACACTGTAGATTCCAAAAGATTTTGTGTGTTTGAAACTCAGGTTACATTTACAGGAGTGAAGAATTCCCAAAAGGAGAATTAGACAAACACAGCCCATGGCACTCTGAGTGTCCCATTCCTCCTACTCTAGGATTAAAACCACTAATCAACCCTAGAAACAAAGTGTCTACAGATTTAGCTCTACTCCTATAGACACTGGGGTTCCCAGAAATGGTTTCTCCATGTGCATGTGTGTTAGGATGGGAGGCTGGAGAGTCAGCTTATGTGGCACAGAAACCATACTCTTCTTCTTCATGCTTGGAAAGCATGGACCTATTGGTTATGTTCATGTTAAGTCCTTCAGTTCCTGTCAATCTTAAGCCTTCTTCTTAGGAAGACACTTCTACATCTGTTTCCTGGAGAAGGTTTAAGCAAACTAACTAATGAGAAGGATCTGACAGTCACGTTGGCCTGTCCAGCACTTGGTCTTTTCTTCTGGGCTGTTCAAACCCAGATGTAAGAAGGCCAGAGTATTCAAAAAGGGACTCTCCAGTCCAATGTGCCCCAAGGAAGTCAATCTGATCTTTTCTGTGTGGAACATATTCCTTCCTGACTCCTACGTTTCTTGGATCTCAAGTATTAACAAGGAGGAGTCATGAAGCAATACTTTTCACAGCCTCTTTCTTTTTTATATGCCAACTATGGTCAGGCAACTACCAGAAGAGCCAAGCAAATCATCACTGTCCCTCTCTCCTCAGACAGATGACTCCATCAGTGCCTGGGAGGTGCTAAGCTTCAGCATCAGTGCCCATACATCACCTCTGCCACTTCTAAGACAGCATAAAGACACTAACAGTCTGTGTTTGGAGATTAAACACAGGTTTCCCTCACCCTTCTCCCCTTTTGGCTCCCTCTTTCCTATTAGAAATAGTTCATGTGCCTAGAAATGACTACTCTGACCTAAAGGCCTGCCAAGGCATCTCTAACCAGGGCAACAGCACACAATGCTTGCATTAATCAAACCTTTTCATTAAATGAAGGTTCCACCCGCAAGATTCAGAGTAAAACACTTGGTTCAACAGACAAGAGGTCTCTGAAGTAGAAGTTACCACGTATCAGTCTCCCACCACAGAAATCACTCTTGAGTGGAAAGCAAAGCTCACACCTCTGCTGCTGGAAACACGGCAAGTTTTTAAAGACTTATTCAGTAACCAGGAGGGAAGAATTTTTTCTCTAACTTTCCAAGTGTTCCACTTCTATTTTTGTAATTCATTTTTTAACTTCTATATTAGGACTGTCTACATTGTAAATGTAAAGGAGGGATGGCTCCTTTCAAGCAACAAGCTTCCCTCAGGTAACAGCTTTTTAAAATGCAATTCTACAATTTGAGGGTTTGGAACATCTTATTTTGGGAAACTAACCAGGGAGAAAGATCCATTCTAGAATTAAACAGAAAACTATTCAATTTAGAATAGTTAGATGCACAAAAAATATAAAGCCACCTATGAAATTACCATGACTATTATCAGCTGGGTAATAAATCTGTTCTGCTCACAGAACACATCCTCCTGGTCACATGTCTGCATTTGATAAGAGACACAAAGGCTCAAGTTTATGAGGACATACCTCTTCCTCCAGTCATATTCTGCACTTAAAATTCATCAGAAAAGGATTTGAACATGGACTGAATTTCATGATAGATCATCTTTGCCACTACCACAATTTTAGAAGGATGCAATGGGAAAATATCCCCACATCCTGCAAAAAAGCAGGTGCTGTGTGTGTGTCAGTGCTCCCCTGGGCACGGCAGACTGCAGCAAGTGCCTGAAGGCACCTGATGGGCTAAGGGAGACAGAAGAATCCAGTGTCCTGTAGGTGAATCCCCAGCCCTTTCAAGCTGCTTGGTAGCCCCATAGGAGCCATCTGAGAGGCTGTCGTGACAGACCCAGCTCTTCACTACTACGGAGCAATTAACAATATTAACAGGTCAAGATGAATTCAAGGTAACCCTACACTCCTTGTTCACAAGAAAAACTCCAGCTCAGCTCTCAGTATCACCTAACCGATCCTAAAAGCTCTGACTTTTCAAGTAGAAGGTTAGGCATGAAACACTCCTCACAGGTGGCTACCTTCTGCATTTTGGTAGCACTACCCAAACCCTGCAAGCTTTGAGCACAGAAAGGCTGGCATCAGTAACTTTACTATTCCCTCTACTGCTTCTCTGCTGTCCCTTAAACAAGAAAATGCTGAAGTCCTAAACCAGCTCCAGGAAGCAGGCTCTAAAGCAAGAGATTCCAAAGTTTCATCCGTATCTCATCATATCAGAGAATCACAGAATGCTTTGGGTTGGAAAGGACCTTAAAGACCATCTAGATCCAACCCCCCTGCATGGGCAGGGACATGATCACCAACAGAATGGCAGGTATAATAAAATTAACTGCAGTCTAACAGTAAAGAGTCCCAATTAAAACACTTCCTTTGTAAACTACAGCAGCCTGATGACTTCCATACCCACAGTCCATATTTCGGGGACTGCTGTTCTAAGGCACAACGCAGAGAAAGGCAGTTCACAGTTCTGCAGAACAGAAAGTCTCAGAAATGTCACATTGCAGTTGTTTTTCAAGCCACAGCACAAAAGCACATCCAGAAATGCTTGATGGAGGCTCTGAGCAGAATTGGTTCTGATCACACAGGGTTAATGAGCCCACAAACAGTTTTACACATGCATGGATGTATGGTTTCTAAGCCCAGCTCAGCAGGTTAACAACTCTCACAAATGGCACAGAAAAGCTAATAAGCTCTCCAGAGACCAGAGCTGAACACACAGCTCACTTGGACATCCCAACACCACCAAGTGGAGCCAGAAGTGCTGGGGGCAGCAAAGCACAATTACACCACCAGGTCTCCACACAGCCAGCTCTGGGCCTGAGCTGGGTCCTGTGCAGCACCATTACCACTCCTAGGGTTCCTGTGCAGCACAATTCATCCTGTTAGGGCACGGCACCCACAGGAGCACTGCTTCAGGCACAGCTGTGCTTGCAGCATCTCCAAGGGAAAGATGAGTTAGTTGAGTTAGTCAAGAGTTTGTTGCTTCCTGCTCCTACTAGTCCCCCAGGCTGTTCTCTTGGGAGGGAGCTGCAGTCCTGGCCCAAGAGATACTCACCTTTTAATTGACAAAAGAGCAATTCAGAACAGAAAAAAAACAAAACAGATCCTGGCTGACCTAGTTTGATGAGGACATGGTGAACTGAACTGAGAGTTGGGTATCCTGCTTCATGCCCTGCTCCCCTCTTTCCTCACCACCCACTCTATGCCACAGCTGCTGTCCATCAGACCCTGCCATGTGTGTTTACTAACACAGCAAAACAGTAAGTCAGGAAAAACCTGGTCTGCTTTTTTCCAGTGACCTAAACAGTTCACCAGAGGACATGCCAACTGTCCAGTCCAGAACACAAGCAGAGGAAGATGGAGAACTGAGCCTTCTCCCTTTGGCCACTACTTCAGCTCAGCCGCCCATGGAACAAACCACAGCCTAAAGCTTCATCACTGGCAAAATCAATTCAAAAGCTCCTGCCCACCCACACAGTCTGTATTTCAGAGGATCTACTTTTTAAACAAGGATCACATCCCTGCTACATTTTAGGGCTAATCCCCCAAACAGCTTCAGCTCTTAGTAGATAGAAGAAACAGAAACTACTTATGCCCAGTTTTATATGAAAGCAATGATTTCTTTGGAGCCACAAGCACAGACCCCAACACCACAGGCATTCTTATAGCACCAATGGGTGCATCTCACACATTGTCAGCCTCAGCAGAACAAACTCTCAGCAAAAAAAAATATCTCTTTTGGGTGTAAGTTCAGAGATGGACAGGCTACAACTTCTACTAGAGAGCAAAAAGACAAAAGGAGCAACAAGGACCTTCTGGAGAAAATTGTGAAAGTTGAGAGGCTGCCTGCAGTTTGTGACATGCTCAAAGTGAGGAGGAGAGCTAGAAATTTTCTCTTTATAACAGTAAGTCAGTATCAAGACTCCAACTGAAGTAATTTTATTTAGTATTGAGACTGAAACTCTGTGCCAGTATCTTTTTTGCATGTTTCAAAATTCCTTTAAATTTTAATACAGGGCAACATTTATGTATCTTTGTACAATTAACCTGCTAAGCAAAGACTGTGAAACACCAGTTAAAACCAGCAAAGCCTCTATTTGAGAGGCAAATATGTCAAGACAGAAGAGAACTTATCTAAGAAAGCCTGAGAGGGCACACAGCCAGGGAAAGGTGTGTGCACAGGAAAAATGAGGTTCTAATTTTTTGATCACTAATGATGAATCCTACTGCCGAGAGAGTTCTCTCACTCCTGCAACCACTGAAACCACATCAGAGCTTTAGAAAACCTTCTGAAAACCACTGGAAAATCTTGCAGCAGCAACACCATGTACCAAACCACTCTAAATAAATTCTGCACTAGCTGAACACACAAAGATGTCCCTTCAGCTGATCTCTCAAGAGGAGGCAGCAGCAGCCCCAACCTCTGATGGTTCATTGTAAAGCCATAAGAAAGCCCTTGGCAGCTGAGGAATTTGGGTGACAGGCCAGATCCAGGCAATGGGTTTAGTACCAGCTAAACTGACATAGGAAATAATTCATGTAAGAATAAAATATTATTGAAGCTTATGTAAGTCTCAAAACATCTTCCCCATTCACCAGCTTGATTTGATACTAATAAAAGCAGCAACAGATTTTTGTAGCTAATAGCTAAAGAACTATGGACAACATGGAAAAGCCATCCCAAATCAAGGCAATATTATTCCTATATATTTAAAGGATGGAGCTGTGTATCATACTCTCTACCCAGTAAAGAGATGTGTCCTGGTTTAATCCTGTCATGGTCAGTAAAATGGAGAAAGTCTCTAAGTTTGAGCCAAACCTGCCCCAGCCACGAGGAAGAGAGACAGGCAGGTCCCTGTAATCCAACTGACCCTGTATCCCAAAAAACGTTGTGCATCAGCAGATGGGGATGGTTCTCAGACCTGTATTCCCAGTTATACTGATCACATACTTCTCACAACTTGTCATGGGACAGGGTAGGACACAGAGACCATGTGACCACAGTAAAAAGGGAAGAGATATCTGGGATCTTAGTTTATCCCACACTTGGTAATAAAAAGGGCAACATCCTTCAAAGTTCAGGATATTCTGGGTCTTACCTATCCCTCCCTTGTTGTTGTTCTCCATTGCAGCAGGCAAGATGCACCAACCCCAGACTCCAGTCTACCCCTGAACCCTTGCCCCTCCGGAGCACAGGGAACGCTGCAGCCCAGCCAGCTTCTGGCTGCTCATGCTCTGCTAGGGGCTGGCAAGTCTTTCTGCTGCCAAGTTTCCTGGTATCAATCCATCTAGGAATTGTCATCAGAAGTTCTCTCACCAGGTAAGTCCTCCAAATACCATCAAATCCAGCACTTACTGTTAAAAAACTCCTCGTAGTCAGTTTTCTCCACACAGCAGGTGTACATGCGCAGCGCAGCCACCTTGATCTTCTGAAGAAGAAGAAAAAACACTTACAGTATTCCCAGGAGAGCTGGGGAATTCCACTGCTTTTGTTACATACAAACTGTCATTTTTCTGAAAAGACTTCTGAGAATCACAATCACTTGGGATTTTCAGGAGCACACTGAACATCTCCAGGAATTACACAACTACAGTCAATTTTTGCCTTGAGGCCAAAAAATGACTAAATGGCTTCTTGAATACCCTTCCAAATCCAGCTCAACATAACCCTGTCATTACAGAAAATGAAATTAAATGTCTTTCCTTACAGAGACTCCAAGGATCCCAGTTCACAATTCCTGTTTTCCTGCAATAACTTTTAATTGATGTATATCACTCAAAAGTGTTTTGTATCATTTAAGTTTTAAATATTACAGAATTGACATAACAGACATCTCCTAAAATGTTTTTTCCTCTTATAAAAATGAAAATTGACCAAGTAAGCTTCACAAGTGATAAGATTCCCAACTGATGAATGATGAGAGGTATATTCAGGTGCTCTGGCACTTCTAATTTTGTTCTTGCACCAGAAAAACCTGTAACAAAGATGGAGGTGCTGAAGATTCAAAGGCACAGTAGCTGGTATCAAAGAGTTTAAAGAGCTGTCAGCTGTTCCTGATAGGGGAGAAAAATATATTTAAAAAAAAAAAGAGAGAAAACTCCAGAGCCCACTCCACTACCTAAGCCAGGAAGCAGCAGTCGGTTTGGGTTGGGTTTTTTTTCCTTTATTATTTTTAAGTGACAGATACCAGGGGTCATCTCAGTGCTCAATGTACTTCAGCCATGAGCACCACGTCTGTCAACTGGCCCTTCAAATGACCAAAGTAACCATTTCTGTATCTCTCCAACCAAAAGAAAAATAAGGAAGTTTCAACTGATCTCCTGCTGTGGAAACACAGCAGACATTATTTTTCTTATTCAGTAATCTCAGGTTTCTGTCAAAAATCAAGTACACATCTCAACTCCTTGCAGTAACACATTTTACACTGTTTACTGGAGTTCTGAAGGTTTCCTTTTTAAAGGAAATGCTGCCTGGTCTGGGGATAGAGATCTCCCCTGTGAAAGCCACTGCCCCAGACCTGTGCTAGGCTTTCAAAACATACTCTAAAGACCAGTCCCTGCAATCCAGCCCTTAAATCAGGCAGGTAACACAGGAGAAACTGGAGAAATTTAATCCTGGAAGTGTTAGGGTGTAGAAGAGAGATGGGGGAAGGGAGAAGAAGATGGAAAAAAGCAGAGAAATATGAAGAAAGTTCCCCAAGATCTCGTAGAGAGCACTGGAAAGGCTGAAAATTAATTCAGGTCTCTTGGGCCATAACCACAAAATAACTCTCTCCAAACTCAAGGTCCCTAGCCAAAAGCAGGCAGTAAAGAGTAGCAATTAAGCAGAACTCTGAATCAACACTTAGAGCTAACAAGAATCTTTATTACAACAATATGTACACAAGCACATGGGAAAGAAACTACTCTCTCATGAGGTTTAGCATCACCTGATTAAAAGCAACTGATTTTAACCCCCTTAAGTGTCAGTTTGCTTTGCTTTGTATTTGCTTTCTGAGGAGTGAGATACAACCAGCAACAGTTTAAGATCAGTCTTGGAGGAGGTCCACTCTGACTTGCAGATATTCAAAGGACCTTAAAGCTTTTAATTACTGCAGAGTTGGGCTCAGCCCTTCCCTCAAGCTGCCTTCTCCTCTCACTCCTTTAGACTGTGTCCTAGTTCAGAGTAAAGAACTCAGGAATTTAATCTCTTTTTTCCTTCTACATAAGGTACCCATGGTGTCTCTTACAGAACTGTTCTCCTTTAGTCAGTATTAACAACTGTTTTATGAAAGGACTACCTAAAAAAGGAGGAAAAGGAGGACTACTTGTGACTGCTTTAGTCAGACACTGCTGAACAGTGACTCCAACACCAACCATTAGGTATCTCACTCCTGTCCCTTTGGGAGACCCTTCTCTCACAGACATACAGACCACTGGAAGAGGCTCAGAGGAGGGAACACAAATCACAACCTCCAAGAGCCTCAATAACAGAAACAAGTTAGACTAAGTCTCCTCAGTGCAGTAAAAGACTAAGATATTCTGGAATGAGTCTATAAAATCCTCAGTGGAAGGGAGAATGTGAATGTACACTCCAAGGAAAGAATAATCACCTTTTTACTCTTTTTAAGTACAAAATTAAAAGGCACCACTGACAACAACTGTACTTCCTCCTCCAGTGGGTACTCCAGCTGTGGAACTCCCTGCTATTGAAGGCTATAGATGCAACTGGACAAATTTACCGAAGAAAAATTCACCAACAGATATTACATAAAAATGCCTGGTTTTGTGCAGAAGTCCTGAAACACCAACTGAGCACATGAGGATGTACTTGTGGCACATGAGTACCACAAGATGCTTGTCCTGTAATTAAATTCTTCCTAGATAACTGCAGTTGGTCAATACTAGATACAATATGATGGTTTATGTGGGTGTTTGACTTAGCAAGGCTGTCAATGTGTTCTCTAGCACACAAGTGAAATTAAAAATAAGGTATCTGAAGAAATTCAAGAAGGTTTAAGATCCTACAAACCAAATGCAATATTCCTACTTATGTCATCTATGGCAATGCAAAGATCAAGGGAGGTCCAAGCTATGGATTATTATTCCTCTCATCACAGAACAGGAATTGACATAGGTAATCATTAGTACTTTTCCACAAGTATTGCTCCTATCATAAGAAAACAAAAAAAAGTGAGGTGTTTTTGTTTGCTTTTTAGAACTCTGAAAGTATCAAACAGCCAAGAGAAGTATTAAATTAATGCTTTACCCATCTGCTATACTTCAGTGGTCCTGTGAAACCCATTGCTTCTATTATCCTTGTGAAAGCACCCACTTTCTCTCCAGAGGACTGCAGGGAATCTTTTGCAGAAAGATGCTGTAAAATTGAAAGATCACATTTTCAACCTTAGCAATTCAATCTCAAAAAGCTACAGGTTTAACAAGTTTATTGTTAGTTTTCTTTGTTCCACAAAGCAAACACATCTTTAGGTCTTCTCTGCAAAATACAACACTGCTTTTCTCACATGATATTCTTCTGCTCATGAATGCAACCATTCCATAACCTTTTTGATAAAAGCATCCCACTGGAACCTCAGACTCAAACACCTCCTCCTAAGACACAAACTTACTAAGGAAAAAAATTTCTTAGAAGCAATTTAGCAACATAAAGACTGCCATGCATGGCCAGAACAAACACTTAGATTAGGATGTCAAAATATCCAATTCAAAATACTTTTTAGTATTGGTCTCTAACTCTACACCAGCCAAATAAGCTGAGCAGACAGCTAGCCCAGATTGTTGCTTTTAGTCAAATTTTACCCATCAATCTCTAACTTTCTTTATCCTTCTGTCCTCTCATTTCTCTTGCACACATCCCATTTTGCCACTTCTCTTCACATTGCATTAACAAGAGCAGGATCAGGATATTTAATAGCTGAGGATGTTGACTCCCTTGAACTAACCCCTAAACCAATCTCATGGAGATGATTCATGCTCCAGAAAACTACTATTTCAAGACAAAAGACCAGAAATGTAAGAGATGCAGAGAAAACACATTAACAGAATAGTACACATGAACAATAGTTGTTATTAATAGATTGCCTGACAATTTTCAGTGGTAAAACTGTTATATTCCCAAGATATAGGATAAGGAAACATCTTGTCACTTCTAATATCTGCAGGCAACTTCTGTATTCCCCTTTTTAAAGGCAAGAAGGGAACATTTGCCCCCCACCCCAATAACTACTCTCTTGAACTTAATTTTTTCCTTATTGTTCCAGGATTATCATTGGGACTTTCACCCCAGATAACCCAGCTCTAATTGCACCCTCCTATGGCAGCCCTTTGTTTTCTAGAAAGGAACAGAAACACTTTGCAAATCATTGCACCCACTGTTCACACTTAAACCAGACCAAACTAGGCTGGAGTTGAATCATCTCATACATGTTTTGAAAAGGGTTTTCTTACTGGTACCTGTATAAACCTGAGCACAATGTGTCCTCTGACAAAAAAAGCATGAAATTCTTCTAACCTTATTTGTATTATAAAACCATCTGTTTTGTTGTGTAATGGCTCCATTGGCTTGAGTCAATCCACAGGGTTTAGACAGTTGGAACTGGCCAGCCTTGTGTCTCTAGGAAAAATGATAAAAGAAAATGAAGAGACCATTGACTACTAAACACTTAACTTTACACCAATTACTCTTAGTTTGCTTCCAAGTCAATTACAGTTTAGTCTAATCCCCGAAAACTTCACATGACAAAAAAGCACAAATTTATTATTATAACTGTTCCAAACAAGATGGTTGTCCCTGCTTAATGCTCCATATTACACATTCCCTAGTGTTCTGAACACACTGATGGAACAGGCTGGCAGACCTGCTCAAAAACCACAGGCTATCTGCTTTGATTTTCTCCCACACTACTTCTAATTACGGGGTTTGACTCTTAATAAAGAATAATTATTTTTCCAGCCTTGCAGAGAAACAAAGTTTATGCTATTTTTATCTACAACTTTATAGCTCGTTCAACTGTCTTTGTGGCTGGGACTCAAACAAAATAAAATTAGAGGGCAAAAACTGTCAGTGCAACCACTGTAACTTCTCAGCACAAGTTGAATGACAGGGCTAAAAACTATCAAGTAGGACTAAGTGGGATCTCCAGGCAAGCAGCTGCACATTGAACAGACCTATCACAGCCTTCCAGCACACCCAGATTAGCAGTAACTGGATTATTAATCATGTCAGACAAAGTGCATGTGCTGGTTTGTTCAGAGCAGCCATCCCTAGCAGTCTACTGGATCTATTGGTGGCCCACTGTAAGCCCAACTTTATCAATCAACTCCAGAACTGCTCACTTCCCTCCCTGCTCCCAACATCCTACACCACTGGGCAGGGGCTGGTGCTTTAATAGCACAACTGTGTCACAACAGCACGGGCAGTTTTCTCAGGACTGGAAGGTGTTACCTGAGAAAAGACATTGAGCCAAAGAGCTTACAGGAAAGTTTCCGATTCTGTACATCATGGCCTCATGACACAAGTTGTAATACACAGGGGGACAAGGAAGAGGCTGAACCTCCTCACATGTCATTGTACACAAGAAGGAAACACCAAGAGAAACACACTAATTCTGTTCCCAGAGCCTGCATCCACCCCCATTTCCTACACATTTTTTCACCTCTCTATTTTTAACTGCTACTACATGATGTTCTAGCTAATTTCCTGTGGACAGACACAATTTGGCACCCTGCAAGCTGTTACAGAAGTGGAAACAAATGACAAGGCAGTGCTTCCCACTGCACAGCACTGCTACATGTCCTGCTGCACTGGGGAACCACAGCAGCAGGAAGCTTTTAAGATGCCTTGATACTTCAGCAAGACACATACAGTGAAGGCATCACTTTTGGAAGCATCTTGATTTAAAGAGCACGACTTTTTCTTACTAATCTGAACTTATCCCACTGTTTGCACATTTTAACATACTCTGATATCCTACCTGGAAAATGCCTCCAAGCATCCATCTACACTGGCCTTGGACTGTGGTTGTCTGTGGCAATCCAGTGCATGCTGCTATCCACTGAGGCACTCCAGCCTGGCAGATCTGGAACAGAGGGACTAGCAGTGAAGAAAAGGACCCTAATACACAGCAACAGTTTAACTGTCCTCCTGCTTCCACAAGTGTTATTCATTTCTGCAACAATCCCAAGACCAAACTCCCAACTTGCACTTGACAGGAGTATAAATTGTGATTTTTAAAATATCTTGCCTTCCAGTATAAGCCTGCAACCTCACTGGCAGGAACAGACCAGTCAAGAAGGAAACAGTGGGCTACAACATAAAACCACATCACATTTTAAATATCTAGACACTAAATACAAACGTTCAAGAAACATTCCTCAATTGACAGAGGTCTCTAAAAAGTCCTCATCCAGCTCTCAGTTTTTATGTGTCTTCTTTCTTCAGGCAAAGCTAAGAATACTAATGTTTCAAAAGAGTATGTTGACCCAAGAAATGTCAGTGAAGATAATTATTTGCTGGTAATTAAAACAGCAGGTAATTTGGAAGAGAGGCAAGGTTTCCTCTGCCTGCACTTTCTTTGCACCATTCATTTCCTGCAATACTCAAGTTAGTACAATATTTGCCTCCTTCATATGTGTTCTACATTAATACTGGAAATCATGTCTGTATCATTAGAGTGGATATGATTTTTTCTAACAAAAATACCTTCCTTTTCAGTTGGCCACAAAGATGATTAAGAGATTGAAGCACCCAACACAGGAGAGGTTTAGTTTTGAGAAAACAAGCCTCCAGGGAAATCTTACCAATTTTTATGAACACATGGGTGGGCAGTCACACCCTTCCTAGTGGTGCTCAGTGAAAGGACAACTGTGAGACCAGCAGATCCACCCAAAGACTGGGAGGAAAGGACACAAAACCAGCTTGAGTTTCTGTTGCCTGCCCTGCAGTCCCTGCTGCCCCTCAGGGCAGTGCCACCTCCTGCTGCCCCCTCAGCTCCCTACCGAGCTGCACTTCTAATCCATTCAGGGAATTGTATAGGGATTTTAAGAGCTTGGAGGGGAGAGATGCACAATCACAATAAGTGTGATCACTGTTCACTGCTACAACTTCTCCCTTCTACTGTAGCAAGACTACTGAGCTTCTGCTCTTTCTGTCACTGCCCAGCAAGTGGAATTATAAAAATTACACATTTCTAGCCAAAAATACATTTCCACTGAGTACCACATTGAGGATAAGCCAGTGCTCTGACATGAACACCTTTCTAGGAAGAAATTACTTGCTGTGAGGGTGGTGAGACACTGGGGACAGGTCAGCTTAGGAGACAAGTCCCTCACCACCAGCAAGCAGGTTTTCATTGCAAACCACACCCTGGAGGTGAAGCTCCACAGACAGCTGAACCCATCTGGTGATTGACTGCTCCTCCATCTCTGCCTGCTCCCTCCTGCCCAGCCTCCCCCTCCCCTTCTGCCTCTTTAACACATTCACACTGCAGGAAACTCTTCTTATGTCGCTGCAGTCTCACCACTCCGGCATTTGGAGCAGAGGGGCCAGGAAAAACGCTGGAGGAGGCAATGGCACCAGTGCACAGACATGAGCCAGGAGAAAGCAGCGGGGACGGGAGGGGGAAGCAGCTCCCTGCACCTCAGCCGCTCCAGGCAGGTTTGCTCTCGTCGCTTTCACCTCGAGATGTCAGGGCAGGGAAACGGCAGCTCAAGCACTCGGTGCTTGCATTTCCTAACCGGGCACCGCCCCCACGAAAGGCCTCGCACCTCCTGATGCACCGTGTGTGTCCCCCCCGCACCGCCCGTCCCGTGCCCGGGCACAAACCCCCCTTTTTCGGGACCGTGTGCTAAAAAAACAAAGCGGCAAAGAAGTCGAAGGAGAAGGGGG